TCGTTACATAAGACCAATAACACTGGGAAACAAAAAAATATGTTTTGAAAATAGTCCAGGGTTTTTCAGCTGAATCAGACTAATGTTGAGGCTCTGAGTCCGAAAATGACCTTGGTTTTGCTCAATCAGGTCAGAGTAATTCGATTTTGCATAAAAAACAAATTTCTGCGGATCCTCAGCTGAGAAACCCTTGACGTTTTTTCCGTTTTCCTCAAGAAATAAAAGTCAACGTATCCAAAGTCATTCAGTTTTTATTTACTCCATCAAATTTGATAAGCATAATTCCTAATAACGTAGACGTACATAATCCGTAACACTATGGCTGTATCTCACACAGTTGACCTGATAGAGACAAATGCATGTGATATTCAGACTCAGAACACCAACATTAGTCTGAATCAGCTGAGAAACCCCTGACCATTTTTTGGCTGTCAACTTATTTATCCACCATCCTCTGATTTGTGGCTCAACATTTTGTTCAGCTGTTTTGGGATAAACTGTTTCTGTTTTCCCGCCTTAAATCCCATTCTCTTTGCCTGCAACACCATCAAACGAGAAAAAGTTTGCGTCTTGCTAATTAATTTTTTTGCATGAATCCAGCTCTTCTTCCCGACTTCACCAGACTTTAGCTTTTGCATGCAATGTATAGCAATGAAACCATGTGCTCTGGGTCCTGGCAGCAAGCAAAACACACCACATACTTTTGCGTGTGCTACTTTCAACTGCTCATTTGTCCCATATTTACTTATTTTGGGGGAGGGAGGATTTGCTAATGATGTATATGTCTTTGCAGAACAGCAGCGTGGAGACGGGAGAATACACGAGCCCTCACTCTGCGACAGGCTGATAGATCTAACACCAGAGCAAGTGTATTTATAGACTCATTTACATGCACGGTGTATGATGAAGCAGCATACTGTAATTGCATGAGAGAGTTGAGCCTCTTGTGCCGTTCTGGAGGAATAATGTTTTATTGGCTGATGTGTACTCCGGGGCAGAGCGAAAGAAATACAGCTTACTGAAAGTTAAACTACAAAAAAAATCAACAATCAAGAGTCGGCTGAACGTAGCCTGGTCGTACCACACCACTGTACTCATTTCATTCATACTAAGGTCTGGATTTGCTCCATTGACTCCGTGAACAGGTGGGAGGGGCTAACTCCTTTTGCAGATTGAAACGATTGGATCTGAGTTTACTGTGACGTATGTAATGCGCCAGAGTGAGACAGGTATAGAAACATTTGTTCATAACATATGAAATGATGTCTGTTGTGACGAGAGACGAAGGAAAGGCTCTGTATCATTAACTTCATTCACAAAACAAGACTTTCACATTTACACACGTTTCTGAAGGATGGGAAAAATATAATCATTTAGAAAAACAACCTGCAAAGAACGCTGCAGCCTCTGTGTGTGTGTGTGTGTGTCTCTCTCTGTCTGTGCTTTGTGTGTGTGTATGTGTGTGTGTTTGTGCATCTGTGCGTGTGTGTATCTGTGTGTGTGTCTTTGTCTGTGCTTTGTGTGTGTGTTTGTGCATCTGTGCGTGTGTGTATCTGTGTGTGTGTGTGTGTGTGTGTCTTTGTCTGTGCTTTAGGGTTAGGGTTAGGGTTAGGGCCACTCCAGGACTTTCAAATGCTTCTTACAGAGCCACTTCTTCGTTCCCCGGGCGGTGTGTTTGGGATCATTGTCATGCTGGAAGACCCAGCCACGTTTCATCTTCAAAGCTCTCACTGATGGAAGGAGGTTTTGGCTCAAAATCTCACGATACATGGCCCCATTCATTCTTTCCTTAACACGGATCAGTCGTCCTGTCCCCTTAGCAGAAAAACAGCCCCAAAGCATGACGTTTCCACCCCCATGCTTCACAGTAGGTATGGTGTTCTTGGGATGAAACTCAGTATTCTTCTTCCTCCAAACACGACGAGTTGAGTTTATACCAAACAGTTCTACTTTGGTTTCATCTGACCACATGACATTCTCCCAATCCTCAGCTGTATCATCCATGTGCTCTCTGGCAAACTTCAGACGGGCCTGGACATGCACTGTCTTCAGCAGGGGGACACGTCTGGCACTGCAGGATTTGATTCCCTGTCGTCGTAGTGTGTTACTGATGGTAACCTTTGTTACTTTGTTCCCAGCTCTCTGCAGGTCATTCACCAGGTCCCCCCGTGTGGTTCTGAGATTTTTGATCACCGTTCTAATGATCATTTTGACCCCACGGGATGAGATCTTGCGATCGAGGGAGGTTATCAGTGGTCTTGTATGTCTTCCATTTTCTGATAATTGCTCCCACAGTTGATTTGTTCACACCAAGCTGTTTGCCTATTGTAGATTCACTCTTCCCAGTCTGGTGCAGGTCTACAATTCTTTTCCTGGTGTCCTTCGACAGCTCTTTGGTCTTGGCCATAGTGGAGTTTGGAGTCTGACTGTTTGAGGCTGTGGACAGGTGTCTTTTATACAGATGAGTTCAAACAGGTGCCATTAATACAGGTAACGAGTGGAGGACAGAAGAGCTTCTTAAAGAAGAAGTTACAGGTCTGTGAGAGCCAGAGATCTTCCTTGTTTGAAGTGACCAAATAATTACTTTCCACCATAATTTACAAATACATTCTTTAAAAATCCTACAATGTGAATTCCTGGATTTTTTTTCACATTCTGTCTCTCACAGTTGAAGTGAACCTATGATGAAAATTACAGACCTCTGTCATTATTTTAAGTGGGAGAACTTCCACAATCGGAGGCTGACTAAATACTTTTTTGCCCCACTGTGTCTGTGTGTGTGTGTGTGTGTGTGTGTGTGTGCATGTATCTGTGTGTGTGTATGTACTGTATGTGTATCTGTGTGTGTGTGTGTTTTGGCCATTAAAAAGCCAGCCCGGTGCAGCATTTAGAGGCATCTAAGAGCAGCTACAGATTTTACCGTGAGCACAAACCTAATTTCATTATTTAAGAAAAGGAAAACAATTCTAATGACATTGGCTCAAGTCTTTTGGCTCAAACCCTGTGTGTGTGTGTGTGTGTGTGTACGTGTGCGTGTGGGTGTGTGTGTGTGTGTGTGTGTGTGTACGTGTGCGTGTGTATTCGTGTGCGTGTGTATTCGTGTGTGTGTGTGTGTAGTAACACACACACATACACGTGTGGGATAATGAGGGGACTGAGCTGTATGGATTTCCACATCCAGCCCCAGCTGCTCTGAGACAAGTCAAAACAGAACCAGAACTCGCCGATGTTTCGGACCTTTAATAATCCATTCATCTGTGACTGAGGCGCACGGTAAAAGATCAGCAACAATATGACCACTTTAATACTTTTATAATGAGGCAGGAAGCGTTCTGGGCCTGTGCTCACAACACACTATATACACATCCAAGACACGCTGGAGCACAGGGACTGGCCTCCTGCTGAGACTCTGAGGAGCACAGGGACTGGACTCCTGCTGGGACTCTGAGGAGCACAGGGACTGGCCTCCTGCTGGGACTCTGAGGAGCACAGGGACTGGCCTCCTGCTGGGACTTTGAGGAGCACAGGGACTGGCCTCCTGCTGGGACTCTGAGGAGCACAGGGACTGGCCTCCTGCTGGGACTCTGAGCAGCACAGGGACTGGACTCCTGCTGAGACTCTGAGGAGCACAGGGACTGGCCTCCTGCTGGGACTCTGAGGAGCACAGGGACTGGCCTACTGCTGGGACTCTGAGGAGCACAGGGACTGGCCTCCTGCTGGGACTCTGAGGAGCACAGGGACTGGCCAGACTTCTTTAGCTGCATATGACTAATCTTTAGCATTTTTTTGTTAAACTTGTATTTATTTTGTACAGATTTTTAATGCTATATGTTATGAACGTATATCCACAATGTTTTATTGTCTGTCTTTCAATTGCTTGTGAAGCACCCACACTGTAAGAAATGTGCTTTATAAATGAACTTGACTGATTTTTAAGGTGAATTAAAGAAATAAATTCACTTTTGGACAATATTCTAATCGACCAAGTTCAACCTGAAAACGCTCCGCCCCAGTTAAACAAACATACAACACTATGGATGCGTTTGTGTTCATTACAATTGTTATTGAAGTCAAAGAAAAAACAAAATATGAACAAAAAAATGATCCATATTTGTCTAGAAATGGTCACTGTTCTATTTAATGTTTAATTTAAGGTAGAGAGGCGGATGTTCTACTTCAGGGTATTGGCCGACTATTGGTCCTCCCAACTGTCAATCATTCTGGTGACAGGTCGAATAAGACCAGAGAGATGTATTCACAAAGCGGAGAGGGCGGTTCCTTCCTAAAATTTAGAATATAGACCTTTAAAAAAGACCTTTAGGCAACATACTGATATGGAGAGAAACATGCTGTCAACTTTCTTTTCTCTTTTCTGGTACTTTTCTAAAGAAGTGGCAGAATGTAAAGTCTTGGTTTGGTTTTCTTCCTTCAGAACAAACTCCAAACCCACAGACTGTAAACCACCTGAGCAGACTTCACATCTGTAATTATAGAGAAACGGTTAAAGTTGTTCTCACCGAGCGGTAATGAGTTGCTACAGTATAATTATGTTGTCTTTGTGGAGCTCCGTGTGATCCAAGACTGTTCTTTGTTCCACTCGACACGACAACACACATAATGCCTGGACTCGGCTTCTTTCTGTCCCAGATTTTAGTTCAAAGTCAAAGAAATCAGGTTTTAGAGTTTTTCCTCTGCTGCAGGTGTTTGTTAGACTGTGATGATCCAGGACTATAACCTTCTACATTTATGGTTCATGGACATTGTTCTCTCCATCTGGTCCAGTACCATGTGTTCTATGTACTCTGTGTTTGGACGGTTTGATTCTCTAATCTCTGTTGGCGATTTTCTTTTTTTGATCATCAAGAAAACCTTGCAAAAACCTCCTGTAGATCCGAGTCCAACCTGTTCCACCTCCTGTAGACCCGAGTCCAGCCTGTTCCACGTCCTGTAGACCCGAGTCCAGCCTGTTCCACATCCTGTAGACCAGAGTCCAGCCTGTTCTACCTCCTGTAGACCCAAGTCCAGCCTGTTCCACATCCTGTAGACCCGAGTCTAAACTGTTCTACCTCCTGTAGACCCGAGTCCAGCCTGTTCCACGTCCTGTAGACCCGAGTCCAGCCTGTTCCACCTCCTGTAGACCCGAGTCCAGCCTGTTCTACCTCCTGTAGACCCGAGTCCAGCCTGTTCCACGTCCTGTAGACCCGAGTCCAGCCTGTTACACGTCCTGTAGACCCGAGTCCAGCCTGTACCACCTCCTGTAGACCCGAGTCCAGCCTGTACCACCTCCTGTAGACCAGAGTCCAGCCTGTTCCACCTCCTGTAGACCCGAGTCCAACCTGTTCCACCTCCTGTAGACCCGAGTCTAGCCTGTTCCACGTCCTGTAGACCCGAGTCCAGCCTGTTCCACCTCCTGTAGACCCGAGTCCAACCTGTTCCACCTCCTGTAGACCAGAGTCCAACCTGTTCCACCTCCTGTAGACCAGAGTCCAGCCTGTTCCACCTCCTGTAGACCCGAGTCCAGCCTGTTACACGTCCTGTAGACCCGAGTCCAGCCTGTACCACATCCTGTAGACCCGAGTCCAACCTGTTCCACCTCCTGTAGACCCGAGTCTAGCCTGTTCCACGTCCTGTAGACCCGAGTCCAGCCTGTTCCACCTCCTGTAGACCCGAGTCCAACCTGTTCCACCTCCTGTAGACCCGAGTCCAGCCTGTTCCACATCCTGTAGACCCAAGTCCAGCCTGTTCCACCTCCTGTAGACCCAAGTCCAGCCTGTTCCACCTCCTGTAGACCCGAGTCCAGCCTGTTCCACCTCCTGTAGACCAGAGTCCAGCCTGTTCCACCTCCTGTAGACCCGAGTCCAGCCTGTTCCACCTCCTGTAGACCAGAGTCCAGCCTGTTCCACCTCCTGTAGACCCGAGTCCAGCCTGTTCCACCTCCTGTAGACCAGAGTCCAGCCTGTACCACATCCTGTAGACCCGAGTCCAGCCTGTACCACATCCTGTAGACCCGAGTCCAGCCTGTACCACATCCTGTAGACCCGAGTCCAGCCTGTACCACATCCTGTAGACCCGAGTCCAGCCTGTTCCACCTCCTGTAGATCCGAGTCCAGCCTGTTCCACATCCTGTAGACCAGAGTCCAGCCTGTTCCACATCCTGTAGACCCGAGTCCAGCCTGTTCCACCTCCTGTAGATCCGAGTCCAGCCTGTTCCACCTCCTATAGACCCGAGTCCAGCCTGTTCCACCTCCTGTAGACCAGAGTCCAGCCTGTTCCACGTCCTGTAGACCCGAGTGCAGCCTGTTCCACGTCCTGTAGACCCTAGTCCAGCCTGTTCCACCTCCTGTAGACCCTAGTGCAGCCTGTTCCACGTCCTGTAGACCCTAGTCCAGCCTGTTCCACCTCCTGTAGACCCAAGTCCAGCCTGTTCCACCTCCTGTAGACCCAAGTCCAGCCTGTTCCACCTCCTGTAGACCCAAGTCCAGCCTGTTCCACCTCCTGTAGACCCGAGTCCAGCCTGTTCCACATCCTGTAGACCAGAGTTCAACCTGTTCCACCTCCTGTAGACCAGAGTCCAGCCTGTTCCACCTCCTGTAGACCCGAGTCCAGCCTGTTCCACATTCTGTAGACCCGAGTCCAGCCTGTTCCACCTCCTGTAGACCCGAGTCCAGCCTGTTCCACCTCCTGTAGATCCGAGTCCAGCCTGTTCCACATCCTGTAGACCAGAGTCCAGCCTGTTCCACATCCTGTAGACCCGAGTCCAGCCTGTTCCACGTCCTGTAGACCCGAGTCCAGCCTGTTCCACCTCCTGTAGACCCGAGTCCAGCCTGTACCACCTCCTGTAGACCAGAGTCCAGCCTGTTCCACCTCCTGTAGACCCGAGTCCAACCTGTTCCACATCCTGTAGACCAGAGTCCAGCCTGTTCCACATCCTGTAGACCAGAGTCCAGCCTGTTCCACATCCTGTAGACCAGAGTCCAGCCTGTTCCACCTCCTGTAGACCAGAGTCCAGCCTGTTCCACCTCCTGTAGACCAGAGTCCAGCCTGTACCACGTCCTGTAGACCGGAGTCAGACCTCTGCCTGATGTGGGCACCGGGCAGTGTCCCGTCTGGAAAAGTCCAGCTGACCCAGAGCACGTGTTGGGGCAGGGCTCTTTGTGTGACATCACAATGGCTTTAAGTAATGCCAGCCATTTTTTTCTCCTTAATCCATTTTTGGATCAGGTATTGGCCGTCAGAGCTGCACCAGCCCCTCACTGACCCTGCTGCAGGTGCTGAGCAGGGGCTTAAGTGTCTTGCCCAAAGACACAACAACAACAGCATCAGTGGGAGTCTTGAAGTAGGTCTCACGGTGGGCACGAACCCACAACCTTCAGAGCCTAAGGACACTGCTCTGCCAACTACTGCCGTTCAGTAATGCATTTACATTAAAGGTGTAGGAGGATTTTCTACTTCCGTGGATCCTCAAGGTCATAGACGGATAAAACAAAATGCAAATCTATAATATAAATAGTTCCAAGTCTGATAAAAATAGCTTCTTCAATAAAAGTTATTCTGCTGCGTGTTTGTTTGCCTGTAATGCATCCCCAACAGACCGCTGCTGTTGTTAGGGGCGCCATGTTTCAGGTGAATATTGCTGACTACAGTTCACAAACTCCCACTTCAAGGAATCGTTATGAAACTGCACTAATTCTTTCAATACAGCATCTTTTTTTCCCCGGATGTTGTAAAGCAGCGGCTGATGATGGAAGAACAAAAAGCAATACTAAAGACCCCAGAGAGGCGGCGTGAGGCGGCGTGAGGCGTGTAGGAAACAGCCCGGTTATATTTAGCCGCCGCAGTTTGGAGCCGTCTGCGTGAAGAGGAGAGAGCTGCAGAAGTTGCTCTACATTTGCATGATGTGGGACTACTTTGTTGTCTGCCGTACAATATATGTCAGCAGTTAATTAGCCGCAGAAAACACCGCTGCCAATCAACGCAGACTTTGATCAATTAAACATGGGGCGCTCGGTCTGACACATTCAGAGCGTTGGAGAAGCTGCACCGATATGTAGATCTGCACGGGACCACGTTACATAAACAGAGATGAGCTTCTTGCTTTCGCACATCCTCAGGGACCGGAGAGTCAAATTCCAGTGTCCACGTCCAGAGCTAGCATCAAACACGTGAGAAAATACACATTACAGCCGGAAAATGTGGACACGTCTCAACTTTTGTGTTCGTACTGTACAAAATATGACATTTTAGTGCAGCATGGAGCATAGAGAAGTCTGGATGTCTCGGCTTGGACTGCCCCCGCTAACCGGCACTGGATAAAGCGGTGGAAATGATATGGATTATAGCAAACACAAAGCCCTGTCTGTCTTGAAAATACAACTCGTGTTCTAGTTGTAATGTTTTATTATTAATAAAACAATAACTTTTTGGCTGGTGCTCTGTGAACTGGGTGCATCTCTGACTGCCACCTCCCAACCCAGAAATGGATTAAGGGGAAGAAGAAGATGGATTAAAGGTAAATAGGATAGTTCTACTATTTATTTTTCACGTTTTTGAACGAATCTTTCTGGTCTTATTTGATGAGCATGTATCACCAAAATGATTGACAGTTGGGAGGACCAATAGGCTTCTTGATCCACCCGGAACTAGAACATCCATAAACCTTTGATAATGTGTATATTATAATTTATTCATTTAATTTAACCAAGTTATAAACCCATTTACATTAAACATCTGTCTAACAAGAGTGTAGTAATAACAAGTAGGACGTGGTCACAAATGGTGCAAGTTCTAAGCAGGGCAGGGCCTAGCTAGTGCTGTGATGGGAGACCTCTGGGAACAGCAGGTGCCACAGTGGGGCGGCTGCGGCTGTAAACTGCCATAAACTGTGGTTGTGTCCTTGAGCAAGACACTTCCCCCACATTAGAATGAGTCTGGTGTGTGTGTGAATGGTTGGTGGTGGTGGGAGGGGCCGATGGCACTGACTGGTTGCCTCGCTTCTGCCAGAGTGTCCCAGGGCAGCTGTGGCTTCAAGTAGTACTTTATCACCAGTGTGTTTGTAGAGAGAGAAAAATGGCGAATGTGAAGAGACTTTGAGCGTCCAGAAAAACTACCATTCTTATTATTATTAACAAGTACATGGGCCATGACCGAACCAAGAGGAAGCAGCTCAGAAGGATCCAAACATTACTGCTCTCTGCCTTTTGTGACTCCTCTGTCTTTTGTAAAAGACTCCTCTGTCTTTTGTAAAAGTGTGAAAGAAAGACTAAGGGTAAGTGTGCAGTGGCAGCGTCATCCAGGCAATTCTCCAACGCAATCTATGCAGTCTACACATTTGCGTTGGAAAAGACATAATCAATAGCCTTAATACTATTCTATTAACTAGCCAGTAATGGGAAAAGAGCACACGGACTTTCAGAGACCGAGCGAGGCAGCAGCACAATGGACTGGAAGGTTTTGTCCTGCTCGCTGCTGTGGCTTTGTAGCAATTGTCAGCTCTGTGTGTGTCTGAATAATATGAAAATGTATGTTCTTTGACGGAGCTGGAAGAGTGTGTTGTGAGTGAGAACTGTCTGCTGTGGAGTGGTAACATGACCCTAACCCTAACCCATGTTTTAATGCCACATATTTAGTACAGTTGGCCTCTCCATCTATTGGAAACTAGCATTGCTGCGAGAGCAAAACGGACACAACTCTTAAAAACGGAGCTTCCTCTCCTAAATCGAGAAGTGGCTGCTTCAAGCACATGTTGGATTACGTTATAGGTGGAAGTAGGACGTCAGGTCAGGGCTCACAAAGAGTGGTATTTGGAGAAGTTAAGGATCGCCTAACTGGATGTTGACCCGTACCTTCTCCCCCCAGTCCATTTTATGGATTAAATAAAATGTCTATTTTTGCCCAAATTCACCCTACATGATCTTTATCATTATCGTTAACAATGCATCCCTCACACTGGAGCAGATTTTTATGTACATTTTGCTGGTAGCATTAGCAATAGTCCACTTTTCTGTGGCTTTTCTGTCTACAGCCAAACATGATACGTACTAACGGAAAATAGTGAAAGACGCAATTGACTTAAAAGATAAAAATGTCAACGTTGCAGCGCACAGACAGGACAGTAGAGACACGTTTGACGTGTGTCATTGTATTTATTTTATTTCCATTAATTTGGAGGACAAACTTGTGATTGCTTTATCTTGTAAAAAGTGTTCACTGCATATTAGGGAGTACTTGGATGGGTCACAGTCCTTTTGGTTGATCTCCGCCATCGTCGTCTTCTGTCTTCATGACGAGCAGGTATCAGATAACAAAGCTTATGTCCGTGTCTGTTAGTATAATCAACCGCACTGCAAAATGTCACAGTTTTGGCTGTAATGCGCTGAAACAGGTTGTTTTGGTCAGGTGTCCGTAGGCTCCAGTTAGACTTCTGCCGTCTGTCATGGAGAGTGGGCGTGGCCGGGACGTCACATGCAAGGGGCCAATAGAAGCTATGAGATCGTCAGATGGATACGCCCCTTTATGCGACGTCAGCAGGAACTTGGTCACATCAAAAGACATCGCTCAGATTGCAAATCAAGTGACAGAAATGTAATTCGTCTGATTAAAATCACAACATCTGCAGGAATGTCCAATGCAGCTGAATCATCCATTTGTTCATGTGTTCAGAGTGGCTTTCTGGGGACTTTAAATCACTCTAACATGTATGAATGACTCTAAAAACATCAATAAAACAACTATAACATAATCATAAGACAGTCATTATGAGTTGAGAGGTACAGACATGTTCGTAAAACTAAAATATAGAACTAATGTCATGAAAAGTTGTTTATCTGTGAGAGGGTCGGTCTCTGGACTGGGTGCACAGGTGAACTTGAGTCGTGCAATTCACGTTACCACTTTAAAAATATGTTTTAAACTATCATTCTGGATGGCTTCCTGACTCAGATTTTTCTCCTCCTTCCTACTTTACTTGTTTAGCATTATTAGGATTTTGGCTGTAGTTTGTTCATTGCTATTCACCCGTTGTCCCATTGTCTGTTTCATGGTACGATGACGGGATCTCTGAGCCTGGCCTCCTCCATCTACACCTGCGGACTGCCCCGCCCGACCCGCCTGGGAGTGCTTCAGTCCTGCACCGGACCTGTCCACGTTCAGCGGCCACTGGTCCACGTCCTGTAGCTTAGGTCCTGGATCTACAGCCTGTCCGTCTGTCGGAGCGGTTTCTCACTTTTTTTCCACTGGATTTTTCGTATGAGTTTTTCCTTGTTGCAGGAGGGTCTGTTGGACAGTTAGTGTCCAACTAGAAGGACTGTGATGATCCAACCACTTTAACATTCTACGACATGTGTGACATTTATCAACATTCATGGACATTGGTCTCTCCCTATGGACCAATACAAATGTGTGTGTTTTAACTGTTGATTCTCTGGTCTGTGTTGGTGATTTCAAAGGTTTTGTTAAGTCTCTGAGATGATGATGTTGTGATTTAGGGCGATACAAGAATACATTCTATTGTATTGTATTGTATGTTTATATACAGTAGTTGCTTATTTAAATTGATGCATATTTCAGAAATGCAGCAGACATCAATACACATTTTCCGTCAACCATGAAAATATGAAGTTCTTTATTTAAACATAAAATGTCTCCATAAAATGTTTTATACTAATGATTAATAATCAAGTGTTTTCATAAAGTGTTCTTATAATATTCGTTAGGTGTTTGCATAAAAGACCTTTGTGTTATGTGCAGAGGTGCAACGGTTCATCACTGATCCGTGATCCGTTCGGTTCAACGTCTTCGGTTCGGTACAGACGTGATCCGCGGTTTGATTTATGAAAACAAAGTTGTGCGCACGTTGTTCAGTCCACACACAGCGTGGTCACGGCGAGCGAAGGAATGGAGGAGCTTGAAAGCCCCGTGTCATTTAAATCC